TAGCCTACCTTGTTTCTGATTAGAAGCTGCAGTTGTTTTAGTTGCTTTGTAGTTTGTTCAGCTTCATGGATCTTTAAGCTGTAATTTTTCACCACATTGGGGCAATTCAGACATTATTTTTTAAATATATCTTTCTGCCCCAGTCTCACGTTTCCTTCTGAGAGTCCAGTTGCACATATGGTAGACTATTTGATACTGCTTCATAGATCCTGGAGGGTCTGTTCATTATGAGATTACTCTGCTGACCTTTGAGTCCACTGACTTTATTTTCCTGTCTCCAATCTGCTGGTAAGCTTATCTAGTAAACATTTTCAATTATTTTTTAGTTTTAGCATTTGTTAGTTTCTTCCTTATAATTTCCATTTCTGGGCAGATTCCTTATCTATTTACTTATTAAGACCATGCTTTCCTTTAATTCTTTGGATATATTTATAATAGTTCACTAAGATCTTGGTTGGCTAAGTCTAACATTTCGACCGCCTTGGGTTCATTTCTATATGCTACTTTTTTTCTTGACTATGGAGCACATTGTTTTGTTTCTTTGTATGTCTAACGGGCTTTTACTGAATATTGTACGTTGTGAACAATACTGTGAAGTCTGTTATTTCTCCATGAGGTGTATGGATTCTTGTTCTGGCAGGCAATGTAATTATTGGCTAATGACCTTACACTTGTTTATACTTGGTTTTGTTTTGTCTTTACACATCACTGAAGAGCCTAGAGTGTTTCCCAAGCCCCACTAAGTTGGCGAGACTCAACCTCCAAACTTGTTTCCTATGGATCTTGTCATGGTTTGATTTTAGAATTTATTAAGGCAGACCTAGAATAGATCTTAGTCTAGACTATGATCCTTACCTCAAGTTGTAACCTTTCTGCTGTTTCAACTGTATTCCAAGGATGTTAAAGATGCACTTATGAGATCTCTCCATTTTGGTAAGACCAGAACTCCCCTGGCAATGCTCTTACCCCAGGATTGCCCTAACTTTAATATCTCTGTTCTAATCTTAACCCATTTAGTACTTTGCTTTCTAGTAAGCCTCAGGGAGTCTCTCTGTGCATATACCGCCTGGCTATATTATTTAGAGTTCTCCAGAGAAACAGAGCCAATAGGATGGATACACACACACACTTATTATCAGGAATTGGTTCATGCAGTATGGAGGCTGAGAAGTCCTAAGATCTGTAGTCGACAAGCTGGAGACCCAGGAGAGCCAATGGTATAGTTTTGTCCAAGGCCAAAGGCCTAAGAAGCAAAAGAGCCAATAGTGTGAGTTCCAAGTTCAAGTCTGAAAGCAGAAGCAAGAAGACAAATGTCCCAGCTAAAAGCCAGGCAGAGAGAATTCTTACCCAGGCCTTTTGTTCTATTCAGGCCTTCAACAGATTTGCTGAGGCCTACCCACTGTGGAAGATCAATCTTCTTTACTTAGTCTACCAATTCAAATGTTAATCTCATCCAGAAATACTCTCATAGACTAACCTCAAAATAATCTTTAACCAAGTACCTGGGCACCCTGAGGCTCAGTCAAGTTGAGACATAAAATTAATCATCATGCCAGTTTCAGCCACGGATTTTTAGGGGACGCACACATAGACTTCTGGAATTCCCTGTCTGCATGACACCCTCCTTTCTGTTGCTCTGCCCAGTGGTTTCCAGCAGTTTCAGCTGTCTTGAAGTCTGTTTTTGCCTCCTCAGATCTCCCCACGCTGCTCATACTCTAGCTGTCTGCACTACACTTGGGAAATTGTCCCCACTTAGAGGAACTCGGTGATTTTAGGGGCTTACTTCATGAGTTTCCTCTCAGGGATCAGTCTTGCCCTTCCTATTGTTCTTTGTCTGAAAGTAGTTGCTTCATAAGTTTTGTCCATTTTTATAGTTGTTCATGGTGGGAGGACTAGCCTGGAATCCCTTAATTATGGCTGGAAAGGTGGTTAATTTTCAGCTGCTTTTATAATATTTTATTATATGAATTATACCACTATTCCTCCATTCTTGGGTTGGTAGACATTAGACATTTAGGTGTGTTCAAATTGTCAGTAATACAAATGATGCTGCAATGACTGTCTTTGTACACAGAAATGGAATTGCAAGGTTATAAGGTACCTATTTCTTCAGTCTTATATTGCCAAATTGCTTTCCAAATTAGTTTTACGTATCCACAAACAACATGTCCATTCCATTTGTTCCACATCCTTGCCAAAATGTGATCTTGTTGAACTATTAAATTTTTGTGCTTATGCAAAGGAATGCACAATGGTTTCTTGTTACTTCAGTAGAGCCTTCCTAGATTACTAGTGAGGTATATACAGATATACATGTAAATATGTATTTATTATTGGCCACTTGGGTTTCCTATTCAATAAATTACATTTTTATATCACTTGTCCTTTTTTTACAGTTGAGTCTTTTTGTGCTGATTCTTAGGAGTTCCTTATAAATTCTAGTTACATGGTTTTTAAATGAGTTATATGAGGTTTTTTTGTATGAGTTAGTTGTTTCTTCTCAGTCTTAGCTTGTCTTTTAGCACCTGTGTTGTCTTCCCCCCCTACAGAAGTGTTAAATCTTAATGTAGTCATATTTATATTTTACTAAATGATTTGCAGGTTTGTGTGTTTATTTCTTCGACCCCTAAACACGGGAGTGCCCTGGGGCTCAAGTCTCAGACCTCTCTATGTACATTAATTCCCAAGTAATCTTTGTCTTACGGCATGTGTACACTGATGGCTTTTACGTCTGGCTCCTCCTGTAAATACCAGTAATGTATGATAATTTAAGGACCCTTGCTGCGCTAGATACTTTGTTCTTTCTTATCCAGATTCCGTGAATGGGAAATCTGCACTCACTGTGCCTGCACTTCCTGGTCTTCCATCCATAGTTTAACTCGCTGCAGCTGGGCTCTTGTCCCACTCTTCCACTGCTGCTGCTGAGATTTCTTCCTAAGTAAAACAGCCCATCCCCTTTTCTTTTCAAATGAAGTCTTTGGTGAAATCAAACAGAAGCAGAATTACCCTCGCAGTGGGTTGGGGAGAACTGACTGCCTTTCTCATCTCTTGAGGTTGCTCCAGAGACCTCTTTACTGAGCCCTGCCTATCATTCTAACCTCTCTACTCCCTCAGACCTCCCAATTTCCAGCCATACTCCTTTCCATCTCTGTGCTTTTGCACAGTTGCTCCTGCATCTGCCTTGAACCCAGTTCTTGTCTGCTCAAGAAACACCTCCCAGTCTGTCTTCCCCTTTATCATTCCCTCTCTTTTTTGTGCCTCTGTTATCACGCTGGCCACAATGAATCAAAGCTTTCTACTTACACATCTTTCTTATCCACTAAACAGAAGGCTTCTAGAAATCAGAGACCCTGTCTTTTTCCCTTTCATGTCTATCAGTAGTGGAGTGAATGAATGGCCAAGGAAGCTGAGCTAGATCAAAATCTGAATTGGCAGACCACCAAGGCTTTTTTTTTAATGCTTTTATTAAGATATAATTCACATACCGTAGAATTCACAGGGTTGTGCAACCACCACCATAATCTAATTTTAAAACTTTTTTGTCCCCCCTCAAAAAGAAAACCCTACCCTTTAGCAGTCATTCTCCATTTCCGACCCCCAGCACACTCCCCAGCCCTCGCCAACCACTAATCCATTTTCCCAGACCATCAAATTTAACATAGGTAAATTGATCACAAATCCTCAAAATCTACCCGATTCTGAACCATGATGTGAAATTTGGTAGATAACTGTTTCACTTAACCAATTTGTACGGCAGGAAATCAAACTTAGCTTGCAGCTTCAGGTTTGATCCGCAATATATTAGACTATTAGACTGCTTGATCCGGAATTTATTAGAATTAGATCCACATTTAGGGGCGCCTGGGTGGCTCAGTCATTGGGTGTCTGCCTTCGGCTCGGGTCGTGGTCCCAGAGTCCTGGGATTGAGCCCCACATCGGGCTCCCTGCTCTGCGGGAAACCTGCTTCTCCCTCTCCCACTCCCCCGTTTGTGTTCCTGCTCTCGCTGTCTCTCTGTCAAATAAATAAACAGAATCTTTAAAAAAAAAAAAAAAAGAATTAGATCCACATTTAACAAGAGTGGTTGGTTTGGGCTGGTCTGGCTTTTCACTGTTGCTGTGCACGTAAACCCCCTTTGGCAGAAAGAGGGCACCTGAAAAACTCACCACCTTTGGTAGCAATCGTGAAAAACGTGCCCGGTAACAACCTCTTCCGGGAGTTCAGCCCTCTACAAAACAACATGGATCAAGCATTACTTGAGTGGTCGCTTTCCGGAGCTTTTATTTTTAACGCGACTCTTCTACCGGGTCACCTCGGGATGGGTGCCGCGCGGTGTACGCGAGGAAGCCTCGAGAAGACGACCTCGCTGTTTCTGGGGGCCGCATTTGCAGAGTGGGGTCGGGTCTAGCGCGTTGCCAGGCAGCGGCGGCGTTGCCCGCAGCAGTCGCGCGTACGAGTCGCCTGCGCAGTGACGCAGCCAGCGCGCGGTGACGCGGCGCGCGGCGCGGTGCACGCTGGGATATTTAAGTCTTCTCCGCGGCGCGGGGCCGCGATGTCTCCGGCGGCTGCGGCGGCTGGCGGAGGCGAGCGGCGGAGGCCGATAGCGAGCGTCAGGGACGGCCGGAGCCGGGGCGGGGGCTGCGGCGGCCCTGCCGGGGCGGCGCTCCTCGGCCTGTCGCTGTTCGGCCTCGTGCTGTACCTGGTGCCGGCGGCGGCGGCGCTGGCCTGGCTGGCCGTGGGGGCCACCGCGGCCTGGTGGGGACTGAGCCGCGAGCCCCGCGGTTCGCGCGCCCTCTCCTCGCTCGTTCGGAACGCGCGGCGTCAGCGAACCCTGCACGCCTCGCCTCCAGCCAAGTCGGCGGTGAACGGAAATCTCCTAGAGCCGAGGTCCCTGCTCGAAGGACCGGACCCCGCCGAACTGCTCCTCATGGGCAGTTACCTGGGCAAGCCCGGCCCCCCGCAGCCTGCCCCCGCCCCGGAGGCCAGGGACCTGCTGGAGAGGCCTGGCCGCCGCCGCACTCCCGCCCGCGCCGCGCCGCCCGCGCCCTCGGCCCATCGTGTGCACCACATTTACCCCTCTCTCCCCACTCCTCTTCTCCGATCCTCTAGGAGGCCTTCCCTCCGGTAAGATCTGCTCATCTTTCCCACACCCTCCTGTCGACTGGCTTTGTATGGAGAGCTTGACTTTTTAAATCTGATTTTCTTTTTCATTAAGTCAAAAGTGAATTCTGTGTCGCTTTGTCTTCTTGAAACACCTTGGTGTGTGTCAGTCGTCCCCTGCCTTCCTTGAGGCTTTGGAATGAGATGTGATGCCAGAGCTGTTCCCTTCTTTACAGTTTTTAAAACCGCGTTTAGAAAAATACTTGATAAGTTACTAAAATATCCCTACTTATGGTGAAAGTATCTTGACCTTTCTAGAGTAGATATATAGTATATTTTGTTGTATTTTTCCTTTGGACCAATAAGAGCAATTAGGTCAGTTAGCCGAGCTCAAAAAGGTGTTCCCAGGAGACCCTTCTTTTGATAAAACTTGATTGATAAAGGTGATCAAATTAAAGAGGCTTTTCCATTTAGTCCCAATAGCTGAGCATTACAAGAGAATACAAAACTTTGGTGAAAATACTAGATTATCAATAAGTACATTCAGTTGAAAGATGAACTTAGGTGTCAAAAATGTTTGACTTTGGATGTTTATTACTTATGACTCAGCATAAAAGATTGAAAAGATTTAAGAATTTTTTAAAAGTTCCTCCTTGCATGTCCTAACGCGCACTTTTCTTCCATCGCAGTTTTACTTGTGTGGGCAGGGTTTTCAATTTCCCTCTCAAAGTTGTTGAAGTCCATTGTAGGGACAGCTGCTAAGCAGCTGCCACTTTCCATCCTTAGATGGAATGGGGGAACGTTGCCATAAAAATGCTGTGGGTTTTTTTGTGGCTCAAAAAGCAGTTTAAGGGGCGCCTGGGTGGCTCAGTCAGTTGAGCCTGCGACTCGGTTTCGGCTCCAGTCGTGATCTCAAGGTTGTGAGAGGAAGTCCCGCATCAGGCTCTGCGTGCTCAGGGTGTAGTCTGCTTGAGATTTTTCTCTCCCTAGTCTTCTGCCCCTCCCCCACGTGTGCTAGCTTTTCTCTCTCTAAATAAATAAATAAAACCTTTTTTTTTTTTTTAAGCAGTTTAAGCTCTCTGGAAGATAACTGAACCCACGTGATTCTTTAGTAATTTACATTTCTGCCATTCCTTCAGGCTTCTTTGGTTCTATAATGTGTTTCCCATTCTCCATAGGGATTGTGGGAGTTTATCAAACCGGTTTGTGATAACACCTCGAAGACGATATCCAATCCAGCAGGCCCAGTATTCCCTTCTGGGCGTACTTCCTACAGTGTGCTGGAATGGTTATCACAAGAAGGCTGTGCTGTCTCCTCGTAATTCCAAAATGGTGTGCAGCCCAGTGACAGTGAGGATTGCTCCTCCGGATAGTAAATGGACTCGTTCGCCAATGTGAGTATTACTGCTGGCAGAATAAACTTTCCTGTTTATTTCCACTTATTCTTCCACAGCCGTTCCTCTGACAAAAGAACTATAAAGCAAAAAAGGGAAGAAGTTCTTATTTGAATGAGAAATCCCTGACTCTAGTCCTTGAACAGCATTTTTTGTTTTGGCCTTAGACGGTAGCTTTAATTCTAAGGGCAGTTTCTATCAGTGTATACCTTTGCTTATTAGATAGCTTCTGATTTCCAGTGACTGAAGTCCGTGCTATATGCATGGTTATTAACATATCTTAATGCCAGAATCTTGTTTTTCATTACAGACCAGAGCAGACAATCAACTCAACACTGTCCTCACCATCAAGTAATGCCCCAGACCCATGTGCAAAAGAGACTGTACTGAGTGCCCTCAAGGAGAGGAAGAAAAGGACAGTGGAGGAGGAAGACCAAATATTTTCTGATAGCCAGGAAAATAAAAGAAGGTAACAGGCCCCGCAGAGTACTAAACAGGCCTCCCACACAGATTCCTGTGATTTGTTGATATACAGATCACTCCCAAGAAGAAACAGAGACCAACTCCACAGTTTCTGAGCTTCAGTAGGTGCCCTTCTTTGGATTCCATGGAAGAGCTTGGTAACAAGGGGTTTAATGCTGTTAGTTTCCTAAGGTACAGGTTAAATTTTATAACTTACCTTTTCCACAAGTATTAGAGATAAGCTGACAGCTGTTAGCCATGTTAGCCTCATACTTTTGATACAAATGTGCTAAATTTTATTTTTTTTAGAGGGAATGCTAAAAATCTTCCCTTCACTAGCTTGTGTTGCTTAATTATTTGGGTAACCACCATTCGAATGTCATATTTGTGCTGGAGAAAATGCTTGGCGAAGCAAAGTGAAGACTGGAATATGGTAGATTTATCAGTAATGAGAGTAAAACCAATTTCATTATTTGGTTTCTGACAGTTTAATGAAAATGGAATAAGCAATCTGTCTCCTAAGTGTGGAAAGAGCAGAGGTTGAAGTCACTAGGTGTGATGCATAACTGCTTTCCAAGAATCAGTTAAGGATTTCACGCATCTTTTAATTTGACAGATTGAGCACCTAATGTGTGCCTGGGCCTACTCCAGGTACTGTGGATAGAGCAATGAGTAAGACAGAGTCCCCATGGGACTTGGATAATAAAATAAGGAATTCTAGATTATATGTGTATAGAAGTAAAGAAAAAAAAAAAATACAACAGGATGCTATAACAGATGATGAGAAGGGGGTTTCTTTATATACATTGGTCAAGGAAGCACTCTGAGGAGACAGTGGACCCCGTAACCATTACCTAGACCAGATTGTTCATATCCTCCAAAGTTGGCCATCTTTGGTACTACCAGTGCAAAATTAGGTAGGGAGATAATCAATGGAAGTGTTTTTATGTGACATAGGAAGATCTGATGATGAGTAGAGATGATTTATAGGTGAGCAATTTGAACTGATGTCAGCTGGCTAAGCAGGGGTGGCAAGGAGTGGGGGAGCTGGGAAAGGGAATCATCTTCCTTATGATCCAGATAAGTCTCTCATATTCTCCAAGGTTAAAATTTTTCTTGACCCCAGTGAGCCTATAACTGAGGATTCTGTATTATCTTTCTCACACTTGGAGAAAGCAGTGATTATGGGACCATGCATAGGCCCTTATGTGTGATATGTGAAGTTTTTCCCTAACAGACTTGCCATATTAACCTCTAGAGCACTATGGGATGTGTGGGTTAGTCCCTAAAATGTTTCTGTTTTTTGTTTTTCATTTGTGGATGGTAGGGTATTGTGATAGTAGTACTTCGGAGAGAAGTTAGCAAATAATAACACCTGAATAAGTTCAAAAGGTCTTGAAGCATTTTTATACTCGTTATTATGAGGATAGTCTTAGAATAAATCTACCTTTCAGAATCTTTAGGATTTGAAGCAGCCTTTTTCTTGTCTAGCCATTTCTATATGCCATAGAAATAGTATAAGGTTCCAGGAGTATGAGAGGATGCTCTAAGGGAAAAAAAAGTCAATTCATTTAATTGAGGGTTTTTTGATTTGTCACAGGCGCCATGATAGCAGTGGGAGTGGACATTCAGCATTTGAGCCCCTGGTGGCCAATGGAGTCCCTGCTTCTTTTGTGCCTAAGTAAGTGAGAATCTATCTGAATGAGGTAGACTGGGGAAGGGCACTGTCAGAGCTGTTGTCCTACAGAGATTTTCCTCTGTGTTTTTTTGCATTGCTTTATTAGCCCAGGTTCAAGTCTTTGACATCAGAGAGGAACATTTTGAGTAATGTTCCACAATAACTATTGTCTAATTTCTTTTAATATTTTTTCATTAATATGGATAAAAATATGGTAAGGCTAAGAGAGATTGTAAATATATTTAATAGCTACGTATATAAACAGGTTTGTGCGACGGTTAAAGTGCAAGAGTATGAAATTTAAGATAAATGTTAAGTTTGTACAATTGAGTTTAAATACATTTAGGGGTTGGATGAGAGGGAAAGTGTCTTGGAAATCTGTGTGAAAAGACTTAAGGTAACTTACATGCTTATTGAGTCAAGAGAGTGACAAGGCTGCCAAAAGAGCTAATGTGCTCCCAGTCTATGCTGATAGCAGAACAAAGACCAGAATGGAGCACGTGGGGAGGGGGGCGGAGGTTCCTGCTGTCCTGAGTTCTGCTCACATTGTCCGTGTAGTGTTGTGCTTGGTTCCGTGGCCTGCACTGTAAGAGACCATAAACACAACCTAACGGTCATTCCGAATGAAGCAATTGTAATATGTTACAGAGTGGTGGCCGTGCATGAGTGGGTTTTGAAAGTTTAAAGTATTAGCCCAAGGGAGAAAAATCTCAAGGGGAATAAGGAAATGAGAGAGGGAAGTCACATGAAGAAAAGGCTAACATTTGTTTGGTTTGGCTCCAAATAGATCCATAGGTGAAATAGGTGAAAGAGGAAATATATTTTCATCCAGTGTAAGAATAAACTAGTCCATGGTTGACATTCATCACTCTGGGAGAAAGTGAGTTGTCTACATTGTAACAAAGGTTGGGTGACTATTCTCCAGGAAAGATGTTCTGTTGGAAGCTTAAAAAAATTGGTTGGTTCCTCTTAACTCTGGTTTTTTTAGTAGGTTTATTGATGTGTAACTAACATTATAATAAACTGTGCCTTTTTAAAGTGTACAGTCTGATAAGTTCTGACCTGTATACACCTGTTAAACCATTGCCATAGCCAAGGTAATAAACATAACTATCGCCTTCAAAAGTTGCCCCTTGCTCCTTAGTAACGCCTCCCTCCAGTCCTGCCCCCAGCCCCAGGCATCCACTGATGTGCTTTTTGTCACTGTAGATTAGCGTGCAGTTTTTTCTAGAATATTATACAAATGGAGTCATACATTTAATTTTTTAAATATTTGGCTTTCCCTTCCTGACTTGCCCAAGGTATTTAGCTGAAGTGGTAACAATAGCATTAAGAGCTTTATCCTTTTTTATTAAGTTTATTTTATTTTATTTTTTTTTTTAAAGATTTTATTTATTTATTCATGAGTGACAGAGAGAGAGAGAGAGAGAGAGAGGCAGAGGG